AGGGCTCCTGTTCCCGAGTTAAGCCCAGGGAGGGCTCCTGTTCCCGAGTTAAGCCCACGGAGGGCTCCTGTTCCCGAGTTAAGCCCAGGGAGGGCTCCTGTTCCCGAGTTAAGCCCAGGGTGAGCTCCTGTTCCCGAGTTAAGCCCAGGGAGGGCTCCTGTAACCCGAGTATAGTCCATGGAGGGCTCCTGTTTCCCCCGTCTCCAGTGTCGGCTCCAGCCCCAAGACCCACTCCAGTGCCAGCTTCTCGAAAGCCCTGTTTAGCGGATAGCTACCTTACCGAGCCTGTTTAAGTTTTCATTTCTTTCTTAGTCTAGTCTTAGTCTTGCCTTGTCTGTTTTCCTGGTCTCTGATTCACGCCACGTCTCTTGGATTAACCCTTTGCTTGCTGTTTCTGACTCTGTTTGCCCCTGCTTGGACCTTTGCCTTCTACCTGGATGTATCTCTCACCTTGCCTTCGATATACCCGTTTGCCATTGTCTGAGCCATGCCTGTTAAAACCACGTCTCTTAATAAAAGCTTGCACATGGATCCTCACGCCTCACGTCTCGTCGGTCCCGTTACACCTGTGATGTAAAGCTGAATTTTCAGCATCATTACTCCAGTCTTCAGTGTCACATGATCCTTCAGAAATCATTCTAATATTCTGATTTGCTGCTCATGAAACATTTCTTGTAATTATCAATGTTGAAAATAGTTGTGCTGCTTATTTTTTTAAATGTTTTTATCATTTTTATTGCTGCAAGAACTCTTGACTAACTTTATAAGTATATCTTGAACTAAGTAAATAAATAAATGAGTGCTACAAAAGTAGTGTGGTCCATTTAAATGACAAATTACAAACCATTCATCACAACACTCAGATCACTTACAATCACTTTCTTTTGCTCTGGTCTGGTGTTAATAATAATAATATCAGATGAGAACAACTGAACTAGATTACAACACTAAATTTGCAACATTGACACTGTTATTGAATTGAATTGAGCTGAACGGTGACTCTGATGCCTTCTGTAGAGCTGCTTTATAGCTTAATTGAATTTGTTTTATAATTAATAATCTTTGCAACATTGACAGTTACTGAACTGAATTGAATCAACATTGAACTAAACTGAGCTGAATGATGATTCTGTTGTCTTCTGTATAGGCCTGTAATCGAATTTGTTTCATAATGTATTCATTTCACAACAACAACACTGTTGTTTTCATGTTTATTACTGTGAAGATGCTTTGAAACAATCTGCACTGTGTAAAGTGCTATATAAATGCATGTGACTTTACTAATATTATGTCAATTTCTAAATGTTAACATAAACGAACGCTCATTGATCGAGCTTTGCCTGGTCTTCTCTCTCCCGGATCAGAACACCTACACTAATGCAGATAAACTCCTGGAAGCGGCCGAGCAGTTGGCCCAGACGGGCGAGTGTGACCCTGAGGAGATCTATAAGGCGGCACGACACCTGGAGGTCAGGATCCAGGACTTCGTCAGGAGAGTGGAACAAAGAAAACTACTGCTGGACATGTCCGTCTCCTTCCACACGCACACTAAAGAGGTAAGACTGACACACATACCTGGTGGATTACAGAGGAATGCTGGGAGGTTTTGCTGAGCAGTGCCAGATGTGCTCGAAGAACGCTGTTTACCTTTCCAGATGCCAATCAGGCCCTTGTGTGAAATGTTAAATGCTTTTGCCATTACGTAATTCATTACGTGTTTAAGGCACATTACTGCAGCAGTCAATAGCAGTGATTATTAGTGATTTATTATGCAGTAATGTGACATCACACTACATCCATCACATCGTGCTCTCTGCGTTTGAGAAGGACAGAGTGTGTAAATATGTTGGAGGGTTAAGTGTCACAATCCATCTTTCTGGGGCAGTTTGGTGCTGTGCTTGTCTCATGGAGCTCAAGCGTGAGCTATAGTTTTGTTGATGCATGGCGATTGTAGGAATGTGGTTTTCTCACGACTGCCTCTGATGTCCTGATATCGCTCTCTCTCTCTCTCTATGGAGACTAAGATCTTGCTAAACACATCTATTTCAAGGTGAATAAAGACATGCTTTATGTACGTTTACGGTATTTGCAAAATAGGTTTTGGTGAACTTACTTATTTTGAAAGAAGTTGGTGCTCTTATGAGCACCAAGGCTACATTAACCTGTATTTGGGGGAAAAAAAAAAAATGTATATTTAAAACAGGTTTGTTTTGAAATATTAAAATTTATTAATGACTGTAATGCATTTCTGTGATCAAAGCTGAATTTTCAGCATCATTACTCCAGTCTTCAGTGTCACATGATCTTCAGAAATCTTTCTAATATGCTGATTTGATGCTCAATAAATATATTCATATTATTGTCACTGTTGAGAACAGTTTTGCTGCATAATATTTATTGTGTAAACTGTAATAGATATCGTTCAGGATTCTTTGATGAATAGTTAAAAAAAAAAAAAAAAACGCCTTTATTTTAAATACAATATTTTTGTAACAATGGAAACATCTTTACTGCCACCTTTAATCAATTTAATGCATCCTTACTGAATAAAAGTCTTAATTTCTATCAGAAATCATTCTAATATGCTGAGTAGGTGCTCAAGAAAGAAAGTGCTCAGAGCTTGCACTTTCATAATTTCATAATAGACTTAATGACCTTCTAATTTCTTTAGTTTTCATTAAAGCATCAACTTTGTCTAAGATGGGACCAGTTCACACTATTAACTAGTTGCTTATTAGCATGCCTATTATTAACATACTTGCTGTTTATTAGTGCTTATAAAGCACATATTCTGCATTACCATATTCTACATCCCTAATCCTACACAATACCTAAACATAACAACTACCTTACTAACTATTAATAAGCAGCAAATTAGGAGTTTATTGAGGCAATTAATGGTTTAATAGCGAGAATTGGACCTTAAAATAAAGTGTGACCCATGTTTCTCCTCAAATTTCTTAGAAGAAATAAAAACATACCAAAATGAGTCTATTGTTAGCATACATATTTGAGTGCTTATTTGTGATTTTTATTTCTTATGGAGTAGCATGTAAATATAAATATAGTATTTGGAAGTTTTAATAAGAGTTTTATCTTTGCATTTTTCAATAATGCATATATACACATTTTTAAGTAATACATGTGTTATCACCATGTAATAAATCAAATAGCTGTAGTTCTAGTAAGTGATACATATGTAAGACTCAGAGTTGCTTTTTAACTGCTAACTGTGTGGATTTTTCCCGTCACGTTCCATTTCACAGCTGCAGTGAATGAGTGTGTGTGACTGTGTGTGTGTGTTGAGAGTAAAAAGCGCTACATTATGTGAGCTGAGACTAACATCAGCGGTTCTTGGCTAAAGGAGGTTCTCCTGCAGGCCAAACGTTTACAGTGTTTCACACTGGCCTGGAGAGTTTCTGCACCGTCCTACTGAAAGAGGTCACAACACAGGCCCTTGAAAGTGCTCAGTTTTAGCAGCACTCCAGAAACACTTAATTTCAGTCGGAATAATATATATATATTATCTTGTATCTTGTATCAGCCTGAAGGGGTTTATTCTGAGATAACAACCGGCTGGATGTACATTATCCCGCTTATTTCAGCTAGCACGTCTTTTCAAAGTGAAAGTAGCCTTGTCACCTGACCTGAATACAGCGCACTGATTCGCTAAAATGGACTTATCGGCTTCTGTTCAAAAACAGCAAGGGCGCTTGTCGGCTTCTGCAGTTAAACGTGAACTGCCTTGAAAGTGGACAAAACCGTCTTTTTTGACAAAACGTGTTTTGGGACGACAGCCATGCAGACCAATTTGATGCAGTGTGCGGCGTATGGTCTGAGCACTGACAGGCTGACCCCCCACCCCTTCAACCTCTGCAGCAATGCTGGCAGCATTTCCCAAACACAACCTCTGGATATGACGCTGAGCATGTGCACTCAACTTCTTTGGTCGACCATGGCGAGGCCTATTCTGAGTGGAACCTGTCCTGTTAAACCACTGTATGGTCTTGGCCACCGTGCTGCTAGTGTTGCTTTCGTCAACGAAAATTATGACTAAATATCGTCGTCAACGAACCTTTAT